TGTGTGTGTGTGTGTGTGTGTGTGTGTGTGTGTGTGTGTGTGTGTGTGTGCGCGCGCCTCTAGCTCTGTGGCCGAGCAGAAGACCACAGTTAGCATCCTTGACGACATCGGCAGCATGTTTGATGACCTCGCCGACCAGCTTGACGCCATGTTGGAGTAACTACAGAAACCAGCCGGTGCGTCTCCTTAGCAACGCTGCATCAGAAGTGACTCAGTTGGCACAACGGGCAACACGCCTCTCTATCTCGCACCTTCTCCTCATCCTTCTCTCTCTCATCATTCCCCTCCACCCCTCCCCCGTCCGTCGGTCTGTTGCTGCGCCATCCCCTCCTCTTCCTCTCGTCTCCTGATGATAACGGAGCAGCACCGCAGGCCCGGACAGACTTGGCAAGAGAAGGAGAGAGCAAGAAAGAGGAATAGATAGAGAGACTAAAAGAGAAATGTTGGTTGGGGAAAGGACCAAAGACAAGTGATGGAGGAGAGAAAATAGAAAAAACACACAAATGACGGGAGATGAAGAAATGCAACAAAAAGGAGGAGACTGCAATCAAAATGTGAGTCTTTAAAGAACTCTTCTGCTCAAAGCGAGCAAAGAAACAAAACCAATACAGAATGAAAAACCAACTGTGTAATGAATCATAGTATGGTATGTGTACATTATAAGCATGGAGAGTTTATATCTACTGAAAAAGTCCTGCATTAGCACAGTAATATATAATATACCGATAAATATGAATCTTTAGCTCTTTGGTTTGATGTCTTGGTTCTGTGTGGAATGGTGACCTCTGGTGTTGTGATGATGTAAATGACTTGATGGATTTTTATTTTTTTTGTTTTTGTTTTTTATCCGTGACCAAAACGAGACTATTCAGCTCCTGAGGTGTGTGTGTGTGTGTGTGTGTGTGTGTGTCTGTGTGTTGTGTGCACGCGAGAGAGAGAAGGAGAGCAATAGGAACAGGGTGGTAGATGTATGCATGTGAGTGTTTCAGGATCAGATTGTGTTTCCTGTCCTGGCTGCATCTCTGCCACATCTTCGTCATCACCCTGTACACACACACACACACACACACACACACACACACACACACACACACACACACACACACACACACACAGGAGAAGCACAATGCAGTCAGATTGATTACAGACACACACACACGTACACAAGGGAGCGTGCACAATTAATAAATAAAATAAAGAGAGAAGGGGAGGGAGAAAACAAAAGTGTACAGCAGGTTGTGTTTGGGACAAAGTTGGTCAAATTCATTTTGGAAAGGATTTAGCCACAGGAGGTCGAAGCCACCATTGGTGAACATGGAATACATGATTAGAGGCGGGTTAGGGCTTCCACCTCTGATGGCTTATACCTCAGAGGGGTTACATGCATTTCGTGAGGTAAGGTAAAGGCAGTAGAGTCAGGCAAGTGAGCAAAGCTTAAACTGGTCTTAGCTGCTTCTAAGTACTTTGCACAGTGCAGCACAAGCACCACAGTGAAGCTGAACGTCTAGAGAGACAAAGCTTTGCCACAAACTCAACTCAGCTCAATGAAAAACTTGTTCTGACTAAAGAGATGTTGCAAAAAACTTCAGGTTTCCCAATGTGTTTCATTTTCAGCTTTGTGCAGTGGTTGCTACAGAGCACCTGATACCATTTTGGGGCCTATTTGGAGTCGCTGTGCATTCAATCTGTCCAATGCAGAGTCAGAGTAGAGTCTATAGAGGTTTTTTCCAACACTTATTAACTAAAAACAAGTATTTGAAAACAGATCTCAATATGTCATTTATAAATGCCCCCACAGCACGATGCTGCCACCGCCGTGCTTCGTGCTGTGAATTGTGATTATTGATTATGACGAGTGTTTTACTCCCCGGGCCAAGCTTCTTCCAGCTGTTTCTCTCCTCTCTGATCTTAATGTGTGAATTCTACTTCACGCCTTCTCACTCAGTCTGAAGCCATCAGATTTACAGCTGTACTGAACTTCGTTGTGACTCGACAACATCCTTGCGTCCGCAGCCCTTTTACATAGCAGACACGCCACAGCGGGTAAAGCAAAAGTGTAAATGGAACTACATTTAAATGTACCTGTAAAGTCAATTACACAAAGGTGTTTTCATTCGATCTAGATATTTGATTCAACTATCTGCTATTAAAGCCTCTTTTTCTTTTGATAAAACCTATATAAAAACTACTTTGATTCACTGTGTTGATACAGTCTAGCTGAGTCTGCAGACTGCCTTTAGTCAATGATTTTCCACTGAATTCCTAATATTCATGACAAAATACTTGCATTTAACCTGTTAAGAAGGTCTTAAGGTACTACTCCTTTACTAAGATAACACGCTCCCTTCCACTGACAACCTTTCTATTGCTCTTGTCCCACACACTCCCAAACACCCACCCTATGTTGCCATGACAATCTACATCACCACCATTGTAATCGGCATTACCATGGTTACTACACGGTGCGATCACACCGCGTACATGGGATGAAAATATAAAAAGTATTCGATTGGAGCAAGTGGCGGCAGAGATGTGTGAAGCCTGGTGGTTTGTTTCGAGTGCAGCTCCTCAAACCAGAAGTTGGCGCAATACTGAGATTCTAACTGCACCTCTGCCCATTAAGAAAACCAAGGTTTCACAGCACGCTGGCAGCCACACTGTTTATATAAATGAATAAGAACTCAGAGAATAGTCGTGGTATTTAAATTACGATCACATAGAGATTATATATATATGGATATTTGAAAAAAATATATAAGAAGAAGTGTATTTATGAGTGTGTTTCATTCTGAAGACTATTTTTAAAGTAAACAGATCTAATCTGAGTGTTGAATCAGTTTGCTTCTTCATGCTTAAGTGGTCTGAGCTGATGAACCATTGTAGGATAACATGTTGGGATGTTTCCAGGAAGTGTTCTTTTATTATTATTATTAATATTATTACTATTATTTTGTATTGTTTTTTTCTGCGCCTACATGTGTACATGTGTCCTGGTGTGGCGATGTGTATAGTATAAGCAATTCTTGTTCCGTTTTGTTATCTTTTGTATAGTTTTAAATGTCTTTGTTTTTCTTTGAAACATGTGCCTTGCTTTGTGATTTTGGTCTGACTTCAATACAGTAGATGGATATGTATAATATAAGGGCATCACTCTCTTTTTCCAGTTTGCCATCTTACTTGATATCTTGGTATGAAAATCGTGCTGCCCTCCCCAGCACCACAGAGTTGTGATTTTTAATCCATAAACTCAGCTGACTGAATGAAACGTTCAGTTACTAGCATAACCCCGGTTCTCTGAAAACCAGGAGAGGCATTTCACTCTAGGAAGCACCCTCATGGAAGCTCCGCTACCACTGCATCATTCTAAAGACAGACCAATCACTTCAAGGATATGGGTCCCCCCCAACCCCTTTTGTAATAGCCCCTGGCACCACACCAGGTACAGAAATCAGTGTGCAGTTGGCTTGGATGACAGAAAATCAGTTTAAAAAAATACCTACATCTTCTTCTCCTGCTTTTGTGAAGAAATGTGTTGTGGATCTGTTGTGTCAGCATGTTAAGTTTTACATTATCACAATGTTTAAGAAAGTTTTGGAAAATAAACGTGGTTCTACCCAGTTAGCTGAGAGGATCAATGCCACTTTCAGAGTGAAGCCACAGATACCAGCTGGTTAGTTAAGGTTTGCTTAAAATTAAAGGACTGAAAACTCTCTGGAAAAGCTAGCTAGCTTCCTAGCGAATGTTTTATTTGTTTCATTTGTACAAAAATCGATGTGTGATATCTACAATTATCTTCTGACATAGCAGGAGTAGTTCTTTTTTTACAGTTTACATTCATAGTGCTAAGCTAAGCTAAACAGAAAACCACAGTCTCACATGTTGTCCGGTCAATTTGAACTCATTAAAAGAAGATAATCATATAAACTGAACAATGAGATATAAGTTCAAGTTCAACTTTGCCCGAGACTCTTTGGTTTTCATTCCAGCTAAAACTTTAGTGTAAGAAATTTGCGAACCGCGGCTAACAACCAGCCGGAGGTAGTTTCATGCTGAGTGTAACTATCTCCAGGTTGATGATCGTTAACTTTTTTGTTGTCTACGTTTTTTCTAATTACATAATTGAAATTTTGAACTTGTGCAAGACTGTTAGATTTCATTCCTGTTAAGAGTTTGTGAGATTTTGCATCAAATGTACGCTGTGTAAAAAATGTTTGCTTAATTATGCTAACCGTTAGCTGAAGGTAGTTCTGCTAAGCTACGCCATGAGAGTGGTATCAATCTTCTGATCTAGCTTTGAGTGAAAAGCTATCCCAACCCACTATATCCCTCAAAACATGGACAACAACAAATAGTCCTGTCATAAACAGTAATGGCTCAATTTCTTTTACATCTTCCTTAGCTTAGTTAAGTAAATTGTTACTGAAAGTGCTTGAGCCAGCTGTCACCAGATGTGTAGGTGCATATTTCTATGAAATTTAATTTTTTTCCCCTTGAGTTATTTTTACCTTGTACCAAACTGTCCTCTGTTATTACAAACTAGATGTCATTGTGGTGACATCCGACAGATGCCTGGTGGTCTGACCTTTGAGGGTTGGCTGTACTGTGTGCAGCTTACAGCTGAGACACTTTCGCTTTTTCATCCGCCATCATATCAGAGATAAAGGTTTGCCTTTTCAATCCTTCCTTAGGTCTCATTTTGGTCATCCTTCATATCGTAGGAATTATTCTGAAGTGTGTTTTGGTACTTGGGCGTTGGGGTGAGGCTACTAAGGTGAAAAAACCCACACACAGATGGTCAAATAAGCTGTGGAGAAAAAGTACTTTTCATCCCTTGTTCTTCTTAACAAAAGATGAAGCCAAACTGTTTTTGATTTTCCGCCTGTGCTTATCTGAACAGACACCCGAGTGGTGTCTCCTCTGCTCTGCAGCGACTGTATGCGAATGCTTGAGAGAGTGTGTCATGTGTTGCTCTGCTATTGACTGTGTGAAATCTGTGTGTGTGGGAGTGCGTGTGTGTTGTAGTGACTGGACAGTGGTGTGCTTGCAGTGACTGCATCTTATGGCCATCTGCTCTGAATAAATAAATGTTCTGTACAAACTTCACAGCCTCCTTTTGTTTGCATTTTTATTTCTTGGTGACAGGAGAGTCTCTGCAGAGCACAATGTAGCTGTTTATGATTCGCATGAGGCCTTATAAAATTAGCAAATGTTTCAAAAATATTAAAAAAGATTGATTGTAATGAGCCATTCACCCTCTAATCCAACCTTGTGTAAAGCCTGGTGAACATCCACGCTTGTTCTGAAAGATAACAATACCGTAATACTGGACAGTGAAATTTGAAATGTTAATACCTTTGAAATGGTTGCTTCAAAGACCAGGACCAGGTGACTCAAGACAGCAACAAGTTGGAGTCAGTCTGTGAGTCATTGATAAAAATCTAAATCTGTTGCTGTCTGCCTAGGCAAAAATTCACATTTACTATTTGCATTGAGAGTCTGTTTTGTCATAGATCTGAAATAGAAATCCAGAAATTCCTCCACAAATTGTGATGTAGTTGTTGCATGACAGCAAAAACGAATAGATGCTCAGCAACCCTGTAGAGGAGTATAACCAGAATACAACCTGTTGGCAACCAGCTGACTCAAGCCTCCTCCTGCAAAGTGACACATTGCACACGAGTTGTGCACACCAGCACAGACTGATTGCAACATGTGTGAAGTCCGTCTACGTTTATAAATTACACAGCGATTATAACCTTAGTCTGCCTGAGAGCGATTGCAGGTTGGACTGTAATTTTTATAAGTCTTTTATAGACACAGGTATGAGTGCCATCCCAGCTCACCCTTTATCCCCTAACCCAGGCTTCGAGGCCGGTGTCCTGCAGGTTTTAGACGAACCCTGGGTCAACACACCTGAATCAAATGATTAGTTCATTACCAGCCTCTGGAGACCTGTTGAGGAGGTAATTTAGCCATTTAAATCAGCTGTGATGGATCAAGGATCAGCAGGACACCTGCACATGCCCTAACCCGACAGGTTTTCTCAACATTTCTTGAAACTATAGTAACTCTTGAACAGTTTGTGCAATCTAAAAAAAAAAAAAATCCTGTTA